CGACGCCGCTACTCCTGGAAAGTATTATCCAGCGGCACGTCGCTTCCTGGAGGAACGATTCGAACCGATATGTGGAGCGGTTACAACAACCTCTCCAACCTCGGTTACATCCATGAGACGGTGAACCACAGCGTCAACTTTGTAGATCCGCACGAGAGTCCACACCCAGGGTCAAGCGTGCGTTGAGGAATCCTCAACACGTCGCAGGGGGGGGGTCGTATTGGCCCTGCTGGGTGGAAGAGATCGAGCCATTTTGATGCAGTGGGATCATCACCGTCGGAAGACAAATATCAAGGATGAGTCGATGCCAGGCCAGAGGATTTCCAATGAAAATGATATTTCACCCACACAAAATTTTCGTGATTCTGAGGCGTCCGGTAATTCTTAGTTACTTCAGTGTTTTATCACCACACAAGTTAAAGAATCTGAATTTCGCACGCTTTCCAAGAGATATTTCATCTTTCAAGTAAGACCTCGAATCTGGGATGTGAGGTACACGGCGCATCCGAGAAAGGGTCTAGTTGTTGCGCGCGCTTCAACTACGGCTCCTTGGACAAACAACCTCAATTCAGGAACAATCGAGAGAATTCTGAAAGTGTCCGTGCGCATTTACAGGGAGGTGTACACCATTCAACATTGCGTTAACGGACTCTTCAGGGTTAAATTTATAAACATGTAACCTTTAAAGTTGAGAAACGCTAATCAATCACTTTTCTTAGAAAGAGAAAAGCAGTGATTCCAAATCTGCTCTTACTTTAGTACATAATCGCCCTTAAAAGGATATACAGCCGTTGAAATAGTGCCAATGTAGCGAAAAAGTACCTTTCGGCGGTACTCGTGCAAAAATCCTCAACGTAGCCGTTTTTTTAATACTGGACGTTTGGAGCAGTTCTAGGCATTTGATAGAGCAAATCTTCTAGTTTATGATGGCGTATTACTTTTCGGATTGGATGAGTTTGAACGGAGTTATGGCTTTGGAAAGTAAAAAAACTCGCACTCATCACAAATTTTCCTCGTTAATTTTGCAAAAATCCTCAACGTGGCCATTTTTGAATACTGGACGTATAAAGCTGCTTTAGCAACGTTTGATAGAGAAAATCTTCTAGTTTTGTATGCCATATAACTTTTCAATTTGACGAAAATGAAGCAAGTTATTGCTTCGGAAAGTGTAAAAACTCGTGCTCATCTCGAATTTTCCTCGTTAATTGATCTAAATTTGTTATTTCTTATAACTTCCTGTAATTTCAGTACTGATTAGAAAAAGCTCTTCACAAAACTCCCAAATCAGCTTTCAGATTGAAAATTCGTTAACTTTGAAGAAAGTTATAATCATTTGAATATTTGTTCAAATTTCAATAGTAAATAAGCTGCTCCACGGTCAACGCCAAAGTCCAGTCAACACACAGCTGGCGAAGGCTTTTACAAGGCTTCCTTTCAAGCGAAAACTGATAGTAGGACTCATCAATAGTGATCATTCCTTGAACTTTTCGTTTACTTCTTAAACAAATTTTTTTTGTGGACGGTGGGGTAGCGGCTTTTTATGAGTTCAGTTTGGAGGGGGCGGGAAATTAACAAATCTCTCCTCTTTCGCGCCTATCAACGATTTCGACGAATACCATCTTCGTTCCGTCCTGGATTCCACCGACCATCCAATCCTTGCGAACGACACGGCCTACGTTGTACTTACGGCGCACGATGTTGGTCTCGTCCACTTGCACGATCGTGTTCGGTCCGCCGAGCTGTCCAACGTTGTCACTGTAGTACTGGACGAGCACATCTCGAAACCACTGGCTCCATTGCACGATCGTGTTCTCCTCCACCTCGAGCGTTCGAGCCATTTCCGTGATCGTGCCTAGGTCATAAGCGAACAGGTAACTCGCCAAAAAGATCTTCTTCCGATCACCACGTAAAGACTCAAAAAATGTGCCCTTCAGGTAACCGATCTTTCTGTCTATTCCAGGCTGTCTACACGAGCGAAGGTTGCACTCGAACTTCCACCTCGCATCTCCGCCAGTGGGGCACTGCTGCTTGGTGACCTTCCTCGGATTCCCGCAGTTTGGGCATGGGCGATTCTTCCACAGCAGTCCTCGATCAGCAAGCCAATCGTCGAACTCTTCCTTCGTCATCGCACCCAACTGCGGCCACGTTGAAATGAGCGTAAACTCGCGCAGCGAAAGTAAATTCGCAGCAAAATCCATACTTAAGATGGGAATATTGCTTACTGCTTCCCTATACAACCCGCCGTTGTTCGAAACGTAGTACCCGCCCTAGATATGCCGGGAAATTCATATCCAAGCCCTCTTCCTTGGCTCAGTCCTAGTGCTCTCTCGCTTGAGAGAGCGCTAGACGAGCACAGCACTGCGCCGCCGCATGCTCCTCGCTGAGAGGAATCTATACGAGCAGAGCGCCGCGCCGCCGCGTGGCCCCCCAACTAAGATAGCACCAACGCCATGTATCCAACTTCGTTGGAACGCGAAGTTGACCAAACAACAATATGCGAGACCACTCGATGCTCGCTTATCTTCGTGCATATTATCGTAATATCAACAACAAAGAGGATGCTCGGTGAGCAGACTTGATCCCACAATGCAACAGAGCACCTCTGCTAGCGTCACCTCTTGAACTGAGGTGTTGCAGAGCTTTGGAAAGTACTCGAGTTGTTGAAGTTAGCAACGCCTTGCTTGATATGGTTCCTTTGCAAATTCGTGATCAATCAAAATTCACGAAATTTAAATGCACTACCATCGCACGGCTGAGGTTTCACCCACTTAGAATTGTCTGTTCGTTCCACTCATTCACAAGCACCATAATATTTCCTTCAAAGCTTTACTTTTTCATCAAGATCAAGCAGCTTGAGTATTAAGGAGATCTCGGTTACGTGGACGACAAGAACTACCTCTTCGTGGTGGATCGACTGAAAGAGCTCATCAAAGTGAAAGGATTCCAGGTGGGTTTCTGACAGACAGCGACGCGCCAGATTGTTCAGGCCACAGCAAAACGACGGCATAAAATATTCATAAGCTTCAAGAGCAGGTATGGTTAGATGTTTAGCAGCGTATCTGTAGCCTATATGCTACAGATACGCTGAAAACGAGGGAACGGGTAACGAGTGAGAGAATAAATAGAAATTTCCGGTGAACATTTTAAAAACACCACCGCTCTCGAAAGCAAAGCCTTTTGACTTCATCTCGCACTCATCTGCTCCCTTCTGTGGCCGTTGGCGGACTCTTTGAAAAGTGGCGCGACTCACGCTCGAAGCATCGGAGTGTCCTCTACCTCATACATGTGATGACTTAGGTTCCTCCAGCCGAGCTAGAAGGCATCTTGCTGTCACATCCTGAGATTCGAGATGCAGCTGTGGTCGCGGTTCCAAATGCTGAGAAAGGGAGAGGTCCCAAAAGCATACGTCGTGCGCACAACTGACACCCTTCTGGAGGAGGACGTGAAAACATACGTTAACGGTTCGTTTTAGTAAGCATTTATCTGGAAATAATGTGTTATGATTCCGGATGCAAAGTTAATGTGGAAAGTGGGCCTCTGCCGGCGCCTATTTCGTGCACCGCGTGAAGTTCATGGCTTACGCACTGTGACACGCCAATTCGATCGATAAATACAACGCGAAGCGCTATTGAGGTTGCCTTCCCTCCTTTCCTAGAGCTTGGTCCTATCTTAAAAGCAAGCCCTAGAGTAAAACTGGTGATAAGAGTGTTGTGCTGTGATGAATGAGCTGCGGGAAAAATCCTTGGGAACACTAAAATTGAGGCTCTAACCTTCAGTAAAGTCAGATGTGGTTTCGTGGCGAGACAGGGCGATCAGAGAAGGCAAAACAGGTGAGAGAGTGCACGCCCGTTTAGCTAGAGCATGCTGATTATTCACAATCAAAGTCGCTGTGGGTGGGAAGTACTGCACGGGGGTCGATGTTTGGCAAGGCAGCGCGAGGACTTAGTGGTCCTAATCGAGCAATTATTCGACGAAGGTGTAGGGTACGACTTACTAAATATTTCCTATCGTGGCATCCTTACTACTACGTTTGGGCTAATCCCGGAATATGATCCGAAGAAATGGTGCAGAACCGAATTTCCAAGCGTGTGCTTACCTGAGCTGTAATTGCACGCAATGTTTGAAATAGACGTGCAATAAAGGCGCACCTTCGTCAGAGTTTTGTGCCTCATTCCGACCTAGACATTGAAACCCTAACACAGCGTTACTTTCGGAATGACCTTGTTTCGATCGTGCTTGTTTCAGGACAGGTTTCTTCTTATAAACATCTCGAAGGCGGTGTTGAATTTCTGGATACTATTCCAAAATCACCAGCGGGTAAAATTCTCAGGCGAGTGCTACGGGATCGCAATAAATCGAGACAATGATCTATCTATATCTCATGTATTTTGAAGTAAGGAATTCCAAAATCCTGCGTAACCTCATGAATGTGATAATTATATGTACAGTTACATATGTAAACGTAATAAACTGTTTATGTCGACAATGATGCATTCTGAGGAAATGAACCTTCAAAAGTATAGTACCAAAAGCCCCTGATCAAAACGGACTTGGGTCGTTCGTAGCCTATTTTGTCACAATATGTAGCAGAACTTACTGATTGACCGCTTTTCGTCTTGGGTGAGCCAGCGGGTCGCTCACCTTCCCAGCTGCTCTGCTTCGGGGCCACACTTGATTGTAAAACCTGGCGAGGGTCAGCCCTTCGGGTAGGGAGTCTGCCTCTGGGCCTTGCTTTGAAACAAATAGCAGAACTACAAAAATCAAAAAAAAATCGAAGTGGTTTGCGTAAGAGTCATTGCCCTTTGGGTGTTTTCTAGATTTGCCCGTGGGCAAGAGTAAGTAAGAAGATCTTGGATGATTGATTTCGACTGACGTTTGCTTACCATTCCCAAGAGCCATTCGATCAGTCACTAATTACTCTGTCAGCAACTGTTCTCGATCGCGATCGTTCTTTGTTCAGCAAGTGCGTTCTTCGAAGCTCTTCAGTGGTTGCTATTCTAACCTTGGTCAATCTCGAAAAATTAGAAATCTTTCTTTTCCGGCAGAATCAGATTAATCCTTCCCACTCTTTCTCCAGATCACTGCATTACCTTTGAGTAGCTCGCACTTATCGTTCCGTTTGTGATTTTATGCAAGTCCCACTTTTATTTGAAAAGATTTGGAGGGCGTAGCAGCTGTTGAGCGAAGGCTGCTGTTCCTTGGCACAAACATGTGATTTTGTAAAGCACTGGCCACTCTGTTATGGCGCTTTGGTCTTGCGAAGCATCTATCAGGGTGTTCAAGGATGTTACAGAATATTTGAGAGACTACTCATTTTCAAAACTACATGGCTCTTCGAGAGCGAGAAAGGGAAAGATTAAGAAAATTTGTCTCAGGCGAGATCGGCCAATCACGTCACCAACCATACTACTGCCCCTCAAAGAAACTACGGAACTTGGAACTTCGCTGTACGAAATTCCACGTATGTTTTTCCGTCTCAAATCTGGCTTCTCAGTGGGGATGGCCTTTTAAATTTACAAAAAAAATCAAATCACCATCCACAAAAAATCTATCTGTTGCTGTGCGACGTGGTTTGTCTAAGGACAGGCTTGCAATTTAGCAAAAAGATGACCGCTCTTCTGCTGCAGCGATCACTACTGAAGATGAGCATTTATTCCACTGCCAAGGCCATTTTAACCAAAGCGCAATTCTGTTCCAAGTGGGAGAATCTTGCAACTACTATAGGAGGTACTATAGTACTATAGTCAGCCGAATAAAAGGCTGATAATATCTTGATTGTAGCCCATTAAAG